GGGCCCCGGCGGGTGTCATAGGCTACTTTTCGTCATCGATCGATATCGATTTTACCGATTTTTTGCAAAATTCGAGCTATGGGGCTGGGAGTTGGCACAGGGGGGTAATCGAGCATGCTGACCACCCCCGTGGGGGTGATCAGCATGCTCGATTACCCCCCTGTGCCAACTCCCAGCCTCCTAGCTCAAATTTTGCAAAAAATCGATAAAATCGACATCGATCGATAACGAAAAGTGGACTGTGACACCCGCCGGGGCCCGAAGGGTATGTGTGCCAAATTTGGTCCGGATCGGTTAAGAAATGGAATTTTCTATTCGGAACATACAGCGGAGCCGGGTAAGCCAGCTAGTCGTAGTATAATCTACGCACAAAAGATGGCGGATAACTGCCACAAAGGATTCATTTGCATAAAGTAAACTACATAGTCATATGGCGCTATACAGTTTACCGGTTTCCGTTCAAAGCAGAACGAAATGGTACGGCTAGTTTCTCATTGCAAGAAGAAAGTCAAGTGAAGAAGTATAACCGAACAAGAGTTGGTATCGGCAATTTTAGTGCCAACATCGGTCAAAAAAGTGTGTAAAGAGCTTCAAGCTCACTACGAGGAGAACATTATGCATAACATTAGAGGTATAGATGTAGTGAGTAAAAAAACATCTTGTTACGAAGTTTAGATCACAAGTGAGGTTGATGAGGAGAAGGAAGTACACGTAAGGTTAAAGAGCGGATGGAGGAATCTGTATATATGCACAATGAGTAGTAATAAAGTGAAGTTGGATGTAAATGAGGCGCTTTTAAAAATATTGTGCAAAAATTTTCTATTACATTTGCAATTTTGAAAAAAGAGGATAAAAGCGAATATAGACGTCTGATTCGATAGACACAGAGAAGCCTATTTGGCTTTAATACTGATAGTCATGATCGCTGAGACTTGTACATTAGCAAGACATAAGTTATATCCATCAAGTCATAATGTAAAAAGGGCAGAAAAGCAACCACTCGAATTTCTCTTGTTTTCTGTCAAATCCTTTCCAGATGATTGCGATCTGAATAAATCTTTTGATATGAGGAGATGTCTGAAATAGAATATATAGAATAAATGAAGACATGCATATTTTACTCAAAAATGATCCTTACCTGTGTTGATAGCGTGGAGCGTCCAACATTTTTGGAAAAATTTATGCTGTTTTATCTCGTAATTATTCCAATTTGCTACACTTTCAAGAGTTTGCGATGCTTTATAAATCAGAAATGCAGTCAATGCTACTTTCGGTGGGTGTTGCTGAAGAGTTCAATTTCTTAGATCGGATTTACGCGAAACGCAGGTGTACCATATTTGTACTATTACATTGTCGGGACTGTATTCGGCTAAGTTACTCCAGTATTTAAAGTCACGTATTTTGCTCCAACAAAACCAAAGAAACTGGTCCATGCTGATTATGAATTACACATTTGACTCACATGGTAAGAATAATTGGGGCGTCATGCTTTGCCAGGAGTCTTTGGCTAAATTTGGTCCAGTAGAAGGGGAAAGAAGGGAGAGGGGGGATAGTCACGTTGCTGATCATATAAAGCTCAGTTTTCCTGATAGAGGGTAAGCCTTTTAAAGTCACGGTAACAAAAGCATATAATATTCATGCTATGGAGGTTGCCGATAGGCTCCACCTATGCAGACAGCTACAGTTTTTTCAAACCGGAGTAGGCGAACATTCTAAGTGGAGCAGCGCGTCCGCACCGCCACTGGCTCAGCGAGAAAGATTAAAATAAAGAGACGCAGACTGCAAAACGGCGCAAATCGTTGCGAACGGACTACCGCCAGTCCAATTTCCGCCTAAACTGAGCCGAAACTTACTGTAGCATGAGGGTAATGGAGAAGGCGCGTCGTTTGTTGCAAATGTCCGCGCGGCACCTCCTCTTTCGGCGACCTAATGCCCTCTACAGGTATTCATTTTGCGAACTTCGTAATCCAAACAAAAATCAATAGCCTTTCAAATTCCAAATAATTTATGGTTCAGTATCTAAAAAGATTACATTTGCGCTTTATAATAGACTAGCTGGCTTACCCGGCTCCGCCGTATCCGGACCAAACTTGGCACACATACACTTCGGGCCCCGGCGGGTGTCACAGTCCACTTTTCGTTATCGATCGATGTCGATTTTACCGATTTTTATCGATTTTTTGCAGAGTTCACCTACAGGGCTAGGAGTTGGCACAGGGGGGTAATCGAGCATGGGGATTCCGAATACAACGTTAGTTTACAGGATCGTCCATTACTTTTATCGATTTTATCGATTTTTTTGTAAAGTTTGACCTGCGGGGCTGGGAGTTTGCACAGGGGGGTAATCGAGCATGCAGATTACGAACACAATATTAGTTTTCAGGATCGTCCATTACTTTTTCGATTTTATCGATTTTTTGAAAATTTGAGCTAGGGGGCTGGAATTTGGCACAGGAGTGTAATCGAGCATGCTGATCACCCCCCTGGGGGTGATCAGCATGCTCGATTACCCCCCTGTGCCAACTCCCAGCCCCCTAGCTCAAACTTTACAAAAAAATCGATAAAATCGATAATAGTAATCGATAATCCCGAAAACCAATATTGTATTCGGAATCCCCATGCTCGATTACCCCCCTGTGCGAACTCCCAGCCCCGTAGCTCAAACTTTGCAAAAAAATCGATAAAATCGATAAAAGTAATCGATAATCCTGAAAACCAATATTGTATTCGGAATCCCCATGCTCGATTACCCCCCTATGCCAACTCCCAGCCCCGTAGGTGCACTCAGCAAAAAATCGATAAAAATCGATAAAATCGATATCGATCGATGACGAAAAGTAGCCTATGACACCCGCCGGGGCCCGAAGTGTATGTGTGCCAAGTTTGGTCCGGATCGGTTCAGAAATGGAATTTTCTATTCGGAACATACGTACACACATACAGACAGACAGACAGACAGACAGACAGACAGACAGACATACAGACATACATACAAACAGACATTCAGCTTTATATATAAGATGAAGCGTAGCATTCAATGAATGAGTCATCGAGAACGAAGCTTTCAAAACTGAGATCTGATTTGAGATTTAGATCTTGCAATTTTGAGTTAGGTGCTTAAAATTTACAAAGGGTCGTTGGCTAGCCTGAAAAAATGTGTGAAAATTCTTACACGAAAGATCTACACCTATGGAAGGCTTCCATTCCATATAAAGATGCAAAAAAAAACTCGGAAAAAGTGTCAGTTTGTTGGAAGAAGCCCCTTTTCGCTGCAGTAGTATTTTCGCACCAAACTCCATCCAGAAAATCCCTCGGACCTCCAACTCGGTCATTATAAGTAGACATATGAAACTACCCAAGAATGTGTTCAATGGATTTTTTTGGGGCTCAAAATTGACAGATCAAAATACTTCGAAAATGCAAAAATAAAAACTTTATGTTCAAATCTATCAATGTTAAACTTGTTATTTCTCAAATACGGTTTCATTTACTAAGGCTTGTAGTATATAAATGACATAGGAGGGGCTGAATGCGGAGTTTGCCATTTTCTAGCTGTTTTTTCTCACTTTCTAAGCACTGAAAAAATCCAGTAATTGCATACTCGAGTATGAGTGGCGGTCCGAAGAGGGCAGAGAGAGGTGGGAGAGGTGGGGGGGGGGGGGTGTATGTTAAAGACAGTGGCTCGGCAAATCTCAACTTAGTCAAATTTGCGCTTACCTGGGGTTATTCAATACGCTGATCCCGAAAATCCACTTTTGAAAGCTTGAAAACGGCGAAAATAAGCGTTTTTTAATGCCCTTCCCTTTGGAATTGAGCGAGTGGAGCAAGGCCAATGACGCTAAATCGTGGCCGGACCCAATGGTTATAGCGTTGCGGCGGGCAGCCTCCAATGGTGAAAAGGAAATTGCCAACTCGTCCAGATGCGTGTAAGATTGGCCTGCGCGTGTAAGTTCGAGAGCGATTTTCTCGGCAGCGAAAGCATGCTGTGCAACCGGGATTGCACTGTTTTCATACTTGGGCGATAAGGAACCTACGGCGTTGAAATCCTGAGTTGTTGGATTTTGCCGATCCACTGCCTTTAAGAGACGCGATTTTTATTGCCAGATGGACAGAATATAGTAGCACACGACTAGTGTTTTATAAAGTTCTAGAATAGCTGAAATCTAGAAATATATTAGACAACTGCACCGATTGTTCGATTTTATCACCTTAAAATCGATTTCAAACAAAATTGTTGAAGGTGAAAAACCCATGAAAATGCAGTAAATAGCAACTAGACATTTCGGTCAGTTTTCTAGCAAAAGTCGTCAACCTTATCCAATAGTTACTTCAAACAGCTAGTAAGCCAACGGGCTTTGCCCGGCACCTTTTGAATACTCTCATAGCACGAAAATGAAGTTTGAAGTTGGTGAAAGCCGGAAAAATCGTGCCCCTTCCTCCCCCCCCCCCTTTCCGAATGGGTCGCAAAATTTCTAAAAATTAACAGGTGTTATAAAAATGTGCAAATGACTTGTTTATACTTGTAAACAATTGAAATTTTTCACAAAATTCTAAAAATCTGAATTAGCCCAGTAAAAAAGTTTTCTCGGGGGCGTGGCGGCACCCTTTTCCTAGATTTTCAGGGTCACAGGCCCGCGGAAATTTCGGGAACCCTTAAAAAATTTTCGGAGTGCGTGGCTGACGCCACGCATCTTCATTTGAAAAATTTTTTGCCGCCCTTCCCCCTTAGCGGAGATCCTGCTATCGCCACTGTCGAGTACTACTCTATGTCTGCTGTATAATGACCAGGTTGAAAGTCCTTTCGATTTTTTTCGCAAAAGATTCAATTTCAAGGTGACAACATTTTTTCGGTTTGGCTCCAAACTTTACCCGGAGTAGAACTTAGGCGGATCTTTGGCGCCTTTTGAAAATATTCATAAGGTAAAATGAATTATCAAAAAATTTCAAAAATTGTATCAATTAATAACAAGTATAAAAATCACTTGTACATTTTTATTCATGTAACTTTCAGAAATTTCGCGACCCATTTTCGGGGGTGGGGGGGGGGGCGAGGTCGCCACTGCTCTCTACATACCTATTAAATCTGGAGTTTTCTTTCAAAATGGAGTTATTACTTCTACAAACGCAGATTTTTTTAACATCGAAGCAACAAAGCGCTACACAAAACACTAATTTCATAACGATGAACATTATGCATGGTATTATCGGAGGATATGTAGTAACTGAAATCGGGTGTAAAGAGTTACAAATTGTAGAGGAGAACTTCATGCATAACATAGGAGGTACAGATGTAGTGAACAAAATAGCACATCTTAACAAAGTGAGATCTACAAATGAGGTTGATGGGGAGGAGGAAGGAGAGGTAAGGGTGGCAATCACATGAAGGAATCTGTAAACATGTATAATACCTCGTGTACCATAGATTAAAATTTGGTGTAGATGAGATGCTTCGAAAAAGGCTGGACAACCAATGATTACAACTGCAATATAGAATAACAGGAGTAAAAGCGAGTACAGGTGTCCGCACTCTAAGGCAAAGCGCTTGATCGGCTTTATTGCCGACAGCTCATGACACACGCTCGACTGAGACTTGCGCAATAGTAGCATTGAGACAAACCACTAAACCTTTCGTATACTGGATGCCATGAAGTGTATAACTCGGGCAAACCTAACTACCTGAACTTCTTCTGCTGGATATCCGAATTCGTATCGCTTCCAGATGAACTGCGGTGAGGAGAGATTCTTTGGTATGAAGAAATATCTGAGTTAAAAAAATGGAGAAAGGCATATTTTACTAAAACTGATCCTTTATGCACCTGTATCGATGCTGTTTCGATTCGAAGCGTTGCAACTTTTCCGAGGAAACTTCTGTTGATATTTCTCGTAATGGTTCTGATTCGCAACGTTTTGACGCGAGCTTGCGATGCCTCTGACAAACCCAGAGATGCGACTGACAATACTACCTTCACTGGGTGATGTATCGGATAAAGAAGTCTGGTCTAGAATAAAGGAGATGAAACACTGATACATTTTGCAAGGTTATCACGTTGCAAGAAGTTTGCAAAAGAATGGAAACTTACAGTAAATTGGATTTCTTGCTTGTACAATTGAACCCAATTTAGAACCTGCTGTCACAACTGCTCCAGGAGGCTGAGGGTTCATCAAACTGAAATATTCCTCGTAAAAATGTTATATCTCTTGATATTCATGTGAATCTACAAGATAATCAGATCGAAATCATTCAATACTGAAATTTATTTAACACGCTGACGACCGCGCCATTTTGGGCGAAACTCCCACTAACGTCCTTCGCGCATTTGGCCCGTGCATACGCGCGGATGCACGAAAACATTATGTGGGAGTCTTTTTGACACTTATTAATAAAACATGCAAACTTTGTTCAGACATAAAGGTATATTACAGAGCCTTACCAGGACTCACACAAATCAAGGTTTTTGCATCGATTTTCCCTCCAAAAATCCATGCAATGGTTATATCTGAGGAATCGCTCTTCGAGAAAAGCGTTGTAAAACCAGATGTTTTTTGCCTGATTCATCTTTGTTTGAGTTCAGAACAGCTATACAGAGTTTTCACCTTCTCGAGAAAACGTAATTATCATGTATTGACTACATCAAAAACGTACTGATTACCCAATTTTGCGGCCAAAACTTCTGAACAGCTGCCGCGAAGCCCTGTGTTCTGTAAGACAATCAGGCCACTAATAGTATTACTGCATAGAAGTTACCTTAAAACTTTTCGCTTGCACCTAAAAAACTAGCGTGCATATGCGCGGATGCACGAAAATGCTAAACGGGAGTCAGGGCGTGCATACGTGCGGATACACAAGGTCGTCAACGTGTTAATATTAGCTGGCTTACCCGGCTCCGCGGACCAAACTTGGCACACATACACTTCGGGCCCCGGCGGGTGTCACAGTCCACTTTTCGTTATCGATCGATGTCGATTTTACCGATTTTTATCGATTTTTTTGCAGAGTTCACCTACAGGGCTAGGAGTTGGCACAGGGGGGGGGGGAAGTGAGCATGGGGATTCCGAATACAATATTAGTTTTCAGAATTATCGATTACTTTTATTGATTTTATCGATTTTTTGTAAATTTTGACATGCGAGGCTGGGATTTTGCACAGGGGGGTAATCGAGCATGCTGATTACAAACACAATATTAGTTTTCAGGATCGTCCATTACTTTTATCGACTTTATCGATTTTTTTGTAAAGTTTGACCTGCGGAGCTGGGAGTTTGCACAGGGGGGTAATCGAGCATGCAGATTACGAATACAATATTAGTTTTCAAGATCGTCCATTACTTTTATCGATTTTATCGATTTTTTGAAAATTTGAGCTAGGGGGCTGGAGTTTGGCACAGGGGTGTAATCGAGCATGCTGATCAGCATGCTCGATTACCCCCCTGTGCGAACTCCCAACCCCCTAGCTCAAACTTTGCAAAAAATCGATAAAATCGATAAAAGTAATCGATAATCCTGAAAACCAATATTGTATTCGGAATCCCCATGCTCGATTACCTCCCTGTGCCAAACCCCAGCCCCGTAGCTCAAACCTTGCAAAAAAATCGATAAAATCGATAAAAGTAATCGATAATCCTGAAAACCAATATTGTATTCGGAATCCCCATGCTCGATTACCCCCCTGTGCCAACTCCCAGCCCCGTAGGTGAACTCAGCAAAAAAATCGATAAAAATCGATAAAATCGATATAGATCGATGACGAAAAGTAGCCTATGACACCCGCCGGGGCCCGTAGTGTATGTGTGCCAAGTTTGGTCCGGATCGGTTCAGAAATGGAATTTTCTATTCGGAACATACGTACAGACATACAGACATACAGACATACAGACAGACATACAAACAGACATTCAGCTTTATATATAAGATAAAGAATCGTAAGCGCAATTCAAAAATGTGCAAATAGAGGGAAACCGCGTGGCGGTCCGAAGCGACCGCTTTTCCAAATAGCACCTTTAGGTTACTGGTTCACTAGTAAGTAGATCACCTCAACGCTAATACCCTATTCGGCTGTCAGGCCGCAGCATTTCTCGGCCGTGGATTTGGGTCAAACTTGTCCTAAGGGGGTTACCTGACATGCTGAACATAAAAATCACACCTTCTCCGCACGAAAACGCCACCGTATGTATTTACGGTAGGAGGTCAAAATCACTGAAACTGGTGGTAGAAACTAGGGAGATTATTTGGCACGCTGAACATGATTATCAAACTGCTCACGTTAGCGCTCGGGTTACGGTGAGTGTGCGGTAAAGTAAATTCAACATGGTCAAAAGTTTGTCTGGAGGGGTATTCCAGCATGCTGATTACGAATATCACATTCTTTTTACGTTTTCAACCGTTTGAGGAAGTTACGGTAGGTATAAAATAGTATCAAGTCGTAGACAGCCTGAAGCCTTGTGAGAGGAATCACCTGAGGTGCTGATCACGACTACAGCAGTCATTTTGCATACTAAAGCCTTTTCTTGGCTTCCTGAAGTCAAATTGGCTCAAAAGGCATGAAAATGTAGGTCTAGGCTGCAAACTACCGTACTCCACAAAAAAGCGTTATTGAAACGAGCGAGCATGATATGCGCAATCAGCATGCTCAAAAATCCCTCCAGACGGAGATTAGAAACAAATTTGGAATTTCGACCGCATACCGTATAACCGCATTTAAGAGAATGACAGTTTTGGAATTCGTGAAATTATCATGTTTAGCGTGCCAAACATTCCTAGAAAAGATTTGGGGCAAATCGGTTTTTGACCCCATACAGCACACCACAACTCCATGAAAAAATCCAACTTTGCGAAAAGGGCATAATTTTCGTGACTAGCATGTTGAATAACGCCTCTAGACCAGATTTCAGCCATTTTTAAGATTTACGCCCTCTATACACTTACCGTGAACACATGGGAAGGCGTTTTTGTGTAAAAAATATGATTTTTGTAATCAGCATATAACAGGCGAGCCTGGAATCCAAGTAAGCCAACTCCACAATAGAAAATTCTGGAGCCCGGATAGCCGAATAGCGCCCACCTAAGATTCACAATCACTTGCAGGTTACAGTAAATCTGCGTTCGTAGACTGTTAACTAGACACTGAGAAAGTCTGCATCTCATCCACTGCTAAGTGGCAATTCATGCGATCATTTGCGCCAGAAATTCAATTCTAAGCTCTTCCTAGATATCGTAGTGGGGGATGCTGTTCAAACAGCTCTGTACTGCACCGAACGAGGGTTAAAAGAAGGTGAGTTAGTAATAAATGAGAAGTGAAAGCTGCTATTTGAGAAAACGGCAGCTTCTAGGTCGTAGTTAAGGAATTCCATCTTGTCTCCCACATGGGAAGCCCAGATACCCAGCTTTGCGTGAACACAGAATCCATAAAGATAACACATACCGTTGATTCTGTGGATCCATAATTGCTTCTTTGCTAGTGGATGCTCTCTCTTGCACATAAAGAGGTAATGAATTTGAACGAGGTGTTGAAGACGCAACGGGATAAACTATTGCGGAAGGCTGAGTTTTCCTTGATGTAACTGCCACAAGTTCGTGTCCATTATGACGTTCGACACAACATTCAAGACATATGACACAATCCTTAAAAATGTATTGAAAGTCACTCATAAGCGAAGGTCGAGTCGTTAAATGCACGGAATGGCCGTAAACTGCAGTGCACGAGCCGCGCGGCAAAGCTTGTACCAGTACAAATGGCTATTGCACAAGTCGATCTCTCGTGGCATTTTAGCCGTTTTCAGGCTCCGCAATCTACGGCTAGCGGCCAATGTCTCGACGATATGAAAAGAGCCCACATACCAAGGTGCAGCCTACAGACACATGTTTCCCAATTTCGCGCACACAGGTGACGCAACGCCGCATAGCAGACAAAGGATGCCGCGATTCACATTCATCACATCTACGTGATCGGCCTGCTAACCATTCTCGTCGTTGCCGTACCCGGTTCACCACTTCTGAAACCAAAACATGCTCATCAAATATCGGAACGGAGAGAATCAGGTTTATTTAGAGGGTCAAAATGTAACGAAACATGGTCAATGAAATGGCGAGGACGCTATTCCAGTATACCAACCCAAAAAATTAAAAATCTCGGATTTCGCTCCAACTCGGTATAGGGAGGTTTTTCGACCCGCTGATGCCAAATATCATATCGATTTCGTGCGATAGCGCCATTTCCAGGGGTTACGGTGGGTATACTGTAGGCGGCCAAAATCACAAAATTCTCTGAAACTCGGTAAGAGGGGGTTATGCGACATGCTGAACACGAATACGATATTCATTCGTTACGGTAGCTCCTCATTCCGGGGTTATGGTGGGTATACGGTAAGGGGTCAAAATCACGATATCCGCTGAAACTTCGTGTAGGGGGGTTATGACATGCTGATCACGATTATGATGTTTATTAGTCACGATAGTGCCTCATTCCGACGTTATGTTGGGTATACATTACCAATACCACCGCTAGATCGAGATTCAGAGCTTGAAGTCTCAGTCACACGTCGGAAATTTCCTCCCCCTGCCTTGCTTAGGAAGCCGCCGCAGGATGTATCGCGCGCGGCGATCGGTGTGGAAAGCAGTGAATTAGACCCTCCTACAGTATACCCACCGTAACCCCGGAATGAGGTGCTGCCGTAACGAATGGATATCATATTCGTGTTCAGCATGTCGGATAACCTTACCGAGTTTCAAAGAATTTTGTGATTTTGACCCCCTACCGTCTACCCACCGTAACCCTCGGAAAATGGCGCTATCGCACGGAATCGATATGATATTTGGCATCAGCGGGTCGAATAACCCCCCCCCCTATACCGAGTTGAGCGAAATCCGAGATTTTTAATTTTTGGGGTCGGTATACTGGAATAGTACCGATTTTCCGTTCAAAAGTGTTCTTGCGGTGCCGAGAATATGCGGTAAAATCCGCGCGTGAGCAAATAGGTCGTCGGTAATGCCGGTGTTATACGCGCACAAGTGGCAGGTAAAGCCTCCGCACCACAAGCACACTATAAGCGGAAGATCTACCCGAATGTACAAAAGTATAATAGACAAATATCGTTAAACACTTCTTTAGCCTGTCAATGACAGCTTGGAAATGAAAGCATTCAGAAAAAAATTGAAAAATTGTACTGAGACATAATTGTCAAAAAGAGTTTCATTGTATCTAAAGGATTCCCCCAATGCAGCAGCTGCGGAATTGTGCAGTCAATGCAAAACCTCATAGCATTAACGATACGATAAAACCAAAAGCAATATAATCCACATAGTCATGGCGCATACTAAGCTATACCCGAGTCATCGCACGCAGAAAACTGACGCCGTTGCATCTGACTGATATTTCGTGCATCGAAGAGATAGCGGGCGATAGGAAAGATGAAAGAGCGCCTAGTCAGGCACAAGCCGAGCGTCCGCAATAATCCCACTTTCTGCGTACGATTCACCTATGAAACAAAACAAACGTACCAGAGAGAGCGATATTCAGGATAAACGATGAGTACTTTTTGTGACAAGATGGGCACCTAAAAAGAGAATTTCAGGATTAAAAAAATGCATACAAAGGAAAACAGCTAAGTACACAAAAAATACGGCAGTACCTTCTTTTTTTCCTCTGTTCATCCTTGCTCAAACAAATCAGACAGAACGTATGGGCGCAAGGTAATGTATAAGGAGCGCAGAATCTTAAGTCGTATTCGGCCCCACATAAACAGTTTGGAACTAGTCCTCTAAGTGCATCTACAGACGAGCACATTGACTGAAAAGGGATTTCAAATCAATAAGAGCCAGCAAAATTACAGATATTGTCGGTTCGTTGACAGCACGTATTGGGCATCCGAAGCATAGTAGTTCAAGGGAAACTAGAGGAAAAAGAAGCAGAAGATGATCTTTCAGCAGAGGTTCACATATACAAAGAGTTCACGTAAAAGTCATTTGAACAGCGGAGAATGACAAAGCCAACCTTACAGTTTCTGTCAAAATCCAGGTCACACGGTGCATTTGCACCGAAGTGCAAGCTCTCTGATGCATGAAGTGGATTGGTTTACTATAATGCGCAACCTATTTAGGATTTTTTCTAGAATCGTTTTGTTAGATAACGCAAAAAGGCTTTGTCTTCAGAGCTCTTGAACACAAAACTGGCGAATTTCTGAACTTGAAAATTGTAGAAAAAGCATTATGAAATGACCACAGGATCTGAATGTACAGCATAAATTGACTGATAGTGATATGGTGAAATGGAATCGCAGAAAAAATGAAAAATTCTTGAGCCTAATGCAACTGATCTCAAATACATTTTCTATCGTAGCTGAATGTAGAACTTTTTCAGATCAATGTAGTGATCAAAAGAAAGAACGAAATGAAGCAAGGAGAAGTTGTATTTACAACATCAGAATGTCACTTCAAAAATAAAAACGCGATTCAAATCTACGGTAGAGACTGTATAAATATGAAGGAGCAGTCCGTGCAAAGCCGAGCACAAAACGACACTGATACTCAGAATAAAGAAGAAGAAAGGGATCATGTCGCACCTACAAGATTGCCAGTGGTTGCTGGTAATCTACGCAGTGCCTCCGGTATTCACGGTAAATCTCCTCAAAGACAATTATGTTGCATTCGCACAAATGTCAAAAACACAAAGCTATTCGCCAATCTAATGATAGCGCTAGCATATTGATGTCGGAAACATACCTAGGGTACAAGATACGGATAGCTAACAGATATAGCTACCATTATTTATTCTGACCTTCAGATTAAAAGACTTGAGTATTTTGCACACTTTCTCATCATGACTCTGATTTGAACAAGCGTATGTGTGGTGCATCCACCAGAATTGTCCCCATATGAATCAACAATGTGGCTGTCTTTCAATCATTTAAACATGTGAACTTCGAATAAGCGCCTTGAAGTTCTGGAACAGAGACCTAGAGACCTGTCTATGTTCCTTTCATACAGATGCGAGACTACGTAGCGCCTTCCTAGAACACATGAGCATGAGTACGTCTGAACAATAATAGCGAAGAGAAAATGGACGATCACAAGAACACACATTTTCTCGCAAACGCCGAGCAAAAAAGCGGCGCCATCTACATAAATCTACTTAACCGGCTGCGCGGGCGGTCGCGCGCGCGCCATCACTGCGTGCCGGGACCAGCGTCGGCTTCCTGCTAGCATTAATGCTTAATGGTGAGGAATCAGTTGATGGTGAGGAACCAAAAACTGTTGCAATGTCTAGCAGGTGCGCCTTCGCTGTTTGTCTAAGTTATGGGCGTGCCAACTTTGAGACTGCACGTATGATTTTTGGTGATAGAATGTTGAAGGTTTTCTCCCCATTAAGGTATACGTATACACTTATATTTTTCACATCGTTATTCCACTTAAAACGTTTTGATATCAATCATACGTATGTCTAGTCATAAACTTGCTAGAGACAAGGCAGTATGGAAGTTTGTGAGAACATGAGGATCAGTACGCGACATTGCCCTGTTTCTGCTTGATATTACTTAACCCTCAATGTTTTTCGAAAAGTTTGAGAATGTGAAATTTGCTCACTTGTTTCTTTTCTCTTCGATGCAGCATTATTTGTAAAGCTAGTTTTGAATGCCAAAATTAGCCGTATCCGACATGCTCGTCACTCAGTATGTAGCCCAATTTTGCATTTTTTGTTCAATAGAATCACGTTGAGAAAGAAAAAACTAGGATAGGAGACTTGACAACTCATGTTGTCTGACAAGATAAATTTCTTCTTTCTAAGCCAAACAGTCAGTCATTCAAGACGAGGTAGCTTGGAATCAACTGTGTAATAGTTATTCCAGAATCTTCAAATCTACGATGATGATAATATTCTCACGAAGACTCACTGACCGTGTGAAGGCCAAAGCTGAAGAAGAATTAAGGTACTAATAGTAATAGGTAGAAGAATTAGATACTAATTGACCCAGAACTTTTTATATCAGTTTTCATCATGCAAGAGAACATGTTCTGACGAAACTTGGTATACAGAAGATGTTGTACTGCATGTAGAGTTGTCGCAGCTCCTACTCAGAACAGTGGAAGATTCCAATAGCAACTTCCATTTCCCTGAATTAGTGGTACATTCTACGAAAACGGTCAGGAGTGCGGTGCTGATCTTGTTTTGGAAAGATTTTGTTCTTTGAAGAAAGAAAGTATAATATTGCGAGTATTTCAGTGCGCACCTGTTTTATGCAGTTTTCCCACCCTCTCTACCTCAAAAAGTTTCATGCCAATAGCAATGAAGCTATTGAGCAACAAATAATCATCGTACCGAAGCTAAAATCCCTTATCCGTCGCAACAGCTTCTCAAACATCCAAGTAGGCAAGCCAAGCACTTGGTCCCGGCACGCAGCGATGGCGCGCGCGCGACCGCCCGCGCAGCCGGTTAAGTAGGTTTAGATGGCGCCCAAAAAAGCGCTTATTCTCCAATCCCGCTTCAAGTTTCGAAGTTCGGCTGATCAAAAAGCGAAGCGGAGTGGAGGAAAAACGCCAAAATGAGAGAAATCTGAAGGAAAAGCCGTTGGGACGGTCAAAATTCTCCAACTTCCGCCGTTCAAAATGCGTGCGGGGCGGCTGCAGCGCATGAAGCACAATTCTGGAACAGTTTCAGCACAGTGCGAGAACAGTTCCGGAACATGGGAATCAGTATGAACCCAGCTTTACCCGTATTCCTTACTTGTAGTTTTGACCACAAGACGCCGCGCGCGGCAGATTGGCAGTCGCGTGCATCCTGCACGTGACTGCCAGAGAACGGCTCGAAACGCATGGTTTACCTCGTTTCTCCAAGTGATGGGTGTATGTGACGAGGCGCATTTTTATCGCTAGATGGACACCAAATAGCGCATAATAAGTGTTCTACAACTGTCTAAAAGTATTCAAATTTTAAAAGAAGATGTATTAAATAGTTGCATGGGTTGTTCGATCTTGATACCTTGCGGTTTAAAACAGCAACTTTGAAGGTCAAAAACCCATGAAAATGCAGAAGAACAGAATCGTAAATATTTCGGTCCATTTTGCAGCAAAAGCCACCAAACTCACCAGTTAGTATTGTCCGACAGATAGTAAGCTAATGCACTTTATCTGGTACTTTTTGAGGACTCGCATAGCACTAAAGTGGAGTTTTAGGCTAGTGACAACCGAAGAAATCGCGCCTCTTGACCGTCTCCCCAAGTGACCATCATGTAAGAGTCACTAGAAGCGTCCATAGACTAAATAAAACTGTTACACACGGAGAGTTTACAATGAACAAAAGATCAATAAAGATAGCGAAATGGTCTTAATATATCGGTTCCTAATTAAAAGATTTATTCACTATATTAAAACATTTACGACAAGGCCGATTTTTCGATTACTGCCGTCTCGGAGCAGAGCCTTTTTCGCTTTCTCAAACTTACAACCCACCTGTTTGTCGTATTGTCCGAAAAGGTAGTCTTTTTGGAAAAAACTGAGAAGTGTCTCCGAGAATCTCCCCACAAGGGTTATCAAAGGCGCTGATTACCAAAATATGATTTATTTTGGTTTTGGCATTATATGGTAAGGTTGCGGTAGTCTTCGGTACGAACCAAACATCATGGATTTTCAAGAAAAATGTCTTAATGAAAGTTATTTCACGTGTTGATCACGATTATAGTGTCCACTTTGTTTACTACTTTTTCACAGTGGGGCTACGATAGCAGTACGGTAAAATTTTCTAAAAGTCAAGAAACTGATATAAGAAAGCTGTGTTAGAAATTGAGACTATCATTTTCATAATCAACATGCTACAAAACCTATATATGTAAAGTTGAGATGAACAATGAAAAGAATCAATTAAATTGATTAAATCGATAATTCTTTGATGGGCTAACATCAGTCTCGTGCCCTCCCCGTATTCCTCGTGCATGTAAATTCAAATTTTCAAAAACAGCATCACCCTGCGGAAAAATTGAGCCAAAACCAGCCTGTGCCTTTCTCTATGTACGGTATACCTACCGTAACATTACCTTACAGTATCCCGAGCCCGAACCACTCTAGCTGGAGCTTCGCCATGGTATCCCCAATCATATGCCAGAACCCCATAAAATTTTATCGTAAGGTGGCGAAGCTAGAGCTTCAGGAATCTTACGACCCACCGGTGGGTCGTATTGTTGCGAATGTGTTAATTTTCGAATAATTTTTGTTACACTTATATCTTTATTTTTTAACATCTCAGAAACTTCCGAAAGATCCTATGTTCGCGGCTTGTGGGTAGGGTCAAAAGGCCTATTCATCGGTTTGTCGCCTCCGCTATCGGTGCGCGAAACATCTACTTTGCGGTTGAAAATGCGTTTTGTTCCCATTTTTGTAAATGAGCTGACATTTTTTGGGTGATGAGCGAGAAGACTAGACAATGTGGTAATTAGGTAGGACATAGTCTATAGCGTTTGGCAAATATCAAAGAATAACACACACATATCTAACACGTTTTTCTGAGCAGTTCAAATGTCAGTGTGGGCCATCTTTGCAAGCACGGCATTTTAACGAAGAACGCATCTTCAAAAATCCAAAAAATCATTTTTAAGCTTTCTGTATTCATTTCTACATGATGCACATGAGATTTAGGAAAGTTCTAAAAATTTTTTTGATACTATTTTCACACTTGAAACGCTAGAGGCACCGGAATACCTCAAGAGGCGCAGAGTTTGCAAGGATGAAGATACCCTTTGTCTGTCTTTGCACTCAATAGGCGTGCTGGGCTTGTTTCGGATCCCAAGCGGCCTCCTCGCTTGTGATCTGCACCTTTTTCGTGAACGTGTCCAAGCATTTTGCCACGTTTTGTTAGCTAATAAAACTCGAGTTTTCCGACGCTCAGGTGTGGAAATATGATCAGAGAGCACGCAGCATGAAGGGGTGCAGAGAAAAGATAGGTAGTAGCTCGGGATCCGAGAGCTGCACCCATTACGTTCAAAGAGACGATAATCATGCCCCCTCAACAGCATTGCCTTTGCACCTTCGTCTGGCAGTAGCCTTCGTGTGGATTCGCAAACAGATATCAGTAGTCTCGTACTAAATATTAAACCACGTTTCGATAACTGAACGTGACTCAACTCCCAACATTTATTCGGTGTTCAACAAGTGAACAAAACGTCGTCATACTTTTACGACAGCATAATGCGAGATTTGAAACATCACTATCTATTATGTACACACAGCACTTCAAATCCGTCTGTACTAACGTACCCACTATCGAACTTCTTCTTCAGGTCTACGTGGACCACCTGAAATGCTTCAGAACTTGTTGTGATGGAAGGTGCAAGGCAATCTCACACTGCTTGTCAAGGAAGAAGGGAATCTTTTGACAGAACCCCACATTGTTTTCTCGATGCACTTTGACCTTCAACCTAATTCTCAAATCGTGACAAAATTTCAGTGAGTATTAAGAAAGCACTTCAAACTTATGCGATGCATCATATGCAAATGATTTCATCTATGCTTTACAATGCAGAATCAACCAGATAATACTGAGGAGCTACTGACTCACTGCAGCCCGATAATGTGGCTTGAGGCAGCGCAACCGTTGCAACACTAGAGGAGGCTGATCACGCATCCGGGTCCCAAATTGGCATGGGAGCCTTGGGCCCGTATGCACGTATATACATCCCTGCTGGGGAGGAGAGGCGTTCTGAGAGGGGAGCGTCATATCTCGTTACTCTGGTCGTCAGGCCCCCGCCAGAGTGCCGAAGCCACGCCAGCGCTACGCCGGCGCCGAGCCAGCGTTTCGATCGATACACGTGTTTTTCGTTGGGGCGGGGCTAGCTGACCTAGTTGTCAGCCAGGGCCCCGCCCAACGAAATACACTTGTATCGATCTGAACGCTGGCTCGGCGCCGGCTTAGCGTTGGCGTGGCTTCGGCACTCTGGCGGGAGCCTCAGGTTGCTGCCTTACAAGACTGGTTTTTGCCATTTCGTGTGTCAAATGTTGCAAAATTGTACAGAGATACTACGGCAGTGCTAAACATATATATGGTAGAAATGAGTGAAATTGCAGGATATCGAAATCTTCGAAACCACTGCTGAGCTAGGGATTATCGAAAAATCTAGATACAATGTTCACATTCCATTTCTCCTGTCGAAAACATGCTAGCAGTGCCTCAGTATGTCCTCAGTACAATTTTGCAGCGTCATGTGTCAGTCATGTATCTCCAAGTTTATACACGTGAAAGAGGAGAAGATAGCAGAAATTCTTAATGATCCACTGTGCGAAACGAATCACTTACTGCAAGACACGACGAGCATGTTTCAATGCCAGTTCAGAATAGCCACCTCGTACTTATGAATTGCGCAAACCGATATTCATAAGGAAAGGATACTTGGTACCATTTGAGATGGACGTATAATTCATTTCCAAACGCACTTTCCAAATCTACGTTTATATCTGCAAGCTTTCGTGAAGAAAACTGAGCATTTTCTGGGGTACCCCATTTTCTGCAGAATTGCATAACTCTACGTCACCAAATCCGCCGTATCGATCTCTGCTTCGCTATCTAACAATACGAGCTTGCAACCCGGGTTCCACTCCGGTTTTGAGCCAGTTCATTGTGTACTTGACCCTCTCACATAGCGAAACTTATCCTTCTTTCAAATCGAATTTTCTTGGGTTCACTTCCTACCGTCCTTACCATGTCTTGATGACCAGCAGATAAAAATGCGCTTCACCCCTCATGCTTCATGACTACTGGGCTTTACAACCTGAGTGTCACAGCCGCCCCGCTCGGCCGCCACGCTTAGGTCCGCGCAGCGTTCGGGACGCTGGCTGCGCGTCGACTGAAGCTTGGCAAAAGCCCGGGCGATACGCCGCAAACGCCGCGCGCGGCCTGAGCGAGGCGGCCGCGTTGGAGGGGCCGTGCAAGCGGAGGCTGTGACTCTTATGTTGAAAAGCCCTGTATGTGGAATATGCACAAAAATACAAATCTGCTTTATATAATAAAGATTAGGGCAGGACGGTAAAGCACTATGACTACTTTATCTGAGTTGGGTCGTTTGCCTAGATTCCGACTAGTATGATGAAAATGATTTTTTGCTGGAGCGTTATTGTATGGAGTAAATAATTTCGCGAATGCAAATCTTACACACCATATATTTTTAAAATTAGAATGATTCTTATTACATACTTTACATACTGCTTGCTCGTTCGTTTCTGGGTACTATCCCCTATTGCTGGAAATCCCCGTGGAGTGTACAAGTGTAATGTATAAAAATGGAAGCGCTTCTAGTAGGCACACAAAACAAAGTAGATTGCAAGCCCTGCTTCTTTAAGGTTCGAACTTCATGAATGAGATGGAAACGGGCCGATTTCACGATGAAAACCGCCAAACGCACTCATAAACCTATTGCTTGATACCGCCTGCGAGCAGCTCCAGTACAGCTCAAGAACAAATCAAACGCTGCGCTAAAACTGTGCCTTTCGGATTAGCATGAACGCAGTCTAAGGCCCGCATGCACGTACATCCCCGCTGCGGAGGGGGGGGGGCATCTGAGAAAGGGAGGGCGTGCAGGATCCTCCCGACGTACGAACTTCAAAGAGATGCCGCCTCTCGAAACTGCACGTAGGTCTGAGCGATAGGACTTGTATAAACTTGTTCAATCAAGTATAAAACGAGTAACGCTCATTTGAGACTGCGCGAACTGTGAAGGGCTTCGAGTTGGATGAACGAAAGTATAACAAGTGGAAATTCGATCTCTGATGAATAAGAGGGGGGGGGGGGGTCACATCCTTTCTGATTGAAGTCTATCTACAGATAGCTTCTCACTGATTTATTACCCAAAAGCGATTCTATCCGAAAATGTCAACGTTGACCCTATTTTCAATTCAAATACTTCAAATGAACTTAAACATCTTATATTCATTTTGCAGTAACATATTAGATTTGCCCAAAAGTGGGCGAAATAATTGGCGCCCTGGTACACTTTATCTCATTGCCTATATCACTTTTGCAAGTCAGCTTGGATTACGTAGTCGCTTTGAACGCTGATTTTGGCCAATAATAATTTTTTCCAAAACATTCAAGAAAACGTAGGGCGGTGGGGAGCTAGACAAGTACAAGAAAGTGTAAATGTTCAAGAAAGTAGCTTAGAAGCTTTCAAGCTCGATTTTTGATTCTCCATTCTGGCTGGGTTGCTGTACTGTTTTTTGTCATTTTCAGCCAACATCTGTCCTTCATACGATCCGGGTAATCTCTCATATATTAGTCGGATAAGGGAGTTTCGCAATGGTAAACTTCATTAAACTTCTCAAAGCGCTGAAAAAGGATGCTACTACAACTGATTAATTGATTTGTAAATACTAATAATGTAGAAACATTGCGATGAATGAAGGAAAAATATCCTGGTAGGAGAAAGTCATGTAAAACAGACAGAGCAGCTGCATATTTCCTAATCTGTAATTTCAAAAAATCTTGAGTTACCATTACAAAAAAGGCCGCATCAAACAGTAGATCACTTCATGTTGATCCCACATAAATAATGGTGAACTTTAATTTTTGCAGAAAGGAATTATATCTGACAGAAAACAGTCCAAGAAGAGTGTCTACGGCCGGCGAAATTAGCTGGTGTTCGTAGCCAAACGCCAGGTACGGACGCCCGCGAACGTGGAGCAAGCGCCCAATCAGGCGATCACGTGAAATAACGTTGGTTTGCAAATGTGAGTAAGGCCTAAGGCCTAGGGCATAGTGTCCATGATACCGTCGCGCTGCGATTTCTGAATTACGACAACTGTTACGCATTCGTTGTATGTCTATGCGTCTGCTACGGTGCTTGTGATACTCGTTCGGCGCGACGGATCGCAGACCCTTTTTAGCTAGGGCATAGTTCTGCAGCGATAATCGCCGCGATTTTGGCCGAACTCAGCGATGTCGCGTCGCGCGTGCTGCACGAGCGACTGGGCGATATCGCCGAGGTGCGATCGCAGACCCTTTTTAGCTAGAGCATAGTTCTGCAGCGATAATCGCCGCGATTTTGGCCGAACTCAGCGATGTCGCGTCGCGCGTGCTGCACGAGCGACTGGGCGATATCGCTGAGGTGCGATCGCAGACCCTTTTTAGCTAGGGCATAGTTCTGCAGCGATAATCGCCGCGATTTTGGCCGAACTCAGCGATGTCGCGTCGCGCGTGCTGCACGGGCGACTGGGCGATATCGCTGAGGTGCGAGGGACATCTTGAGAGTTTTTTGTACGCATGCATTGTTCTTTCACCTCGTTTTTGTTTGAAGAATAAGAAAATCTCTTCTGAAGTAGTGAGTCCCCATTTCATGATTATGAACTGCCGTGTAAGCCGCCGTTTTCTGTTTTCTAAATCAATATGAGCTGGTTCGTTTTTTTATGTTTTTTCGTGATTTTAGAGTCGATGCATTTGTTTTTTGCAGATTAAATACGGCATATCATGTTTGAGTGGGTATCATCACGTTTTGCAATTCGCATAAATGCGTTTGAATGACGTCCTTTCCGTGCCATAAATTGTCATGTGTGTGAGTGCACGCAATCGCGCACGCTACGCCCAAGCCCGCGGGACGGACGATTTCGTCGTCGCGATCTCGTCGCCCAAACCACCGATTTCCCCGGCGACGAAATCGCGGCGACGAAATCGTGGACACTATGCCCGTTCCCTAAGGCATACCTCGCGCGATTCCGGTCGCTGCGCGATGTGGCACAACAGCGACTCCTCGTAATTCGTCGTTAATGCGCTGTCTTTGGTCAGAACTTGCTCCATTTGCAACAACTTGCACAAGCTACCCAAATATGCATCCGAGAAGCGCGCGCGATAAATTCATAAAAAATGTGACAAATCCCCGGGTGTGGTACGGAAGGCGACAATCCCCAAATTTGTGCTTATCAAAAACTCTCCGGTGTCAAAGTGACACCCCGGGGGACTACGGGGGTGGGGGGTGGGGGCAGATACATTACTCAATGCCACAAGTGGAAATTCGTGAAAGTCATTGAGACGGATACTAGACAGCCTCCATTTTCCGCCGATTGTCGCCTTCCGCGTGCCCCCCCCCCCAAATCGCCAAGTCGCGTGAGAGTGGCGATTCGGCCGAATCGCGTGAGGTATGTCTTAGGCTAAGAGACTGAGATAAAATGTACTTCAAACTATTTTGGATTCTTGCTATCTAATTTTCGCAGCGCAAAACAGTTCAAGAAAGATCTTGTTTCTAAATCATTGCTCAAAGCGACTGAGATAATACAATGAAAGTTCTGGGCTGTTTTCATTTTAGTAAAATAACAGTGGAACGACTTTAGAGGGAGTGATATCAAATGCTCTTGCACCTCAGTAGAAATTATTATAAGACAAGTCAGACTGGATTGAGTCTCCTTTGAATTGTCATACAGTCACCAACTATAGATTTTTTCAAGACAACAACATATTCGATGGGAATCTTTGAAAAGATGGGTAAGAAGAATGGAAATTTACTGGTTAGTTTGCTATCTGTCACCGGATGATAATACAAGATGATTTAGCCGTTACCCTTTCTTTGTCATCATCGGTGTAATACAATTTGTCTCGTATTACGTTGTAAGTCCCCACAAATTTCGGCGAGTTTGGATCCGTAGCATTCCTGAACAGACATCAAAAATCAAAGAGAAAATAGTGAAAACTTACTTTTTTATCAGCATCGGTACCGAAAAATGAAACTGTACCATTTTGCAATTTTTCTTATTATTGTATCCATCTTTCCAGTTTTTTCTCTCTAGTCTGCAAGAGAATTATGATACAAAGGGTGATGAGTGATCTTTGAGAAAATCGCACCTGTATCTGTCGGCAATGAGGAGAAAGTAGTTGTCGGCTTCTTGAGATCCTCTTGCTGTTTGGAAAAGGATGTTCGAAGTCTCCCTTTTGGACTTGTTTCTGGCGTTGTGAAAGGGCAATCGTCCAAACACTATCTCGTTGACGTCCACTCTATATGTGTGATGTACTTTGTCAGCATCTGATACAACCTTTTCATGTTCATTTGACTAGTTAGTTCAATCTAGAGTCTCTGAGTGTCAGCGTGTAAGTGGGGGGTGTCCGTACACTAAGCTAGGTGGGCAAGAAGTCAAAGTTGTGGCAGATCTCTTCTCGTATCTTATATAAAAGGATGACTTTTTTTAAAACCAAACAGCTGCTCATAGTCTGTCCAAAATCTTAACCACTACAATAAAATAGTAGGTAGCAACTCATCTCGCTTAAAGGCAGTGTCCGGGCAAAAAGTCGATTTTGAGATTTTGTGCCTACCCGGGCCTATTCACTATGCTGAATCCGAAAATTTACACTGGAAAGCGCGAAAATGGTGAAAAAGGTCTCTAACGCAGGAGGGAAATCAGAAGTGGGCGGGGTCTTCCCCACTGTGAATTTCGAGGTCTTAGCTTCCGGAGCGATTTTCTCGAGAAATGATAGTGCTGGACAAATCTTGCAAAAAAAAAACTCTCCGTTTAAATTATTATGGGCTGCCGGCATAGTTTAGAACTGTATCTGTGCACATGCGTCTTCCGGGGATACGAGGGGGGGGGGGGGAAGAGAAGAGAGCTTCAAAAGGGGTTGCTTTTTTGCAGGGAAGGACAATGAGTAGCTGTTCAACACATATGGTTCCAAGTTGGAATGGTAGGTCCAGAGTTGTTGTCCGTAGCTGCGAAGCATCATTTGAAAAAGTTTATCTCTTCTGTTTTTTGTGAAGTGAGCCTATTCAAGAGATTTGCTCCGTGACCGCCTAGGCTGAACCCTGCGCCACATCCGCCAAGTTAGTCTAATCATTTTCTCACGCTAAGGCTAAGCTTCAAGTGTTAATTAAACTGGAAAATGGTTAGAGAACATGTTTGCGATTACGGCGAAGTTGAGCATGGCGGTCGCGCGAAATACAATACGTTCGAGTCGGGCTCATTCCAAATTTCCAAATGAAAGAAGAGTAAGATAGATTCGATTGGACATCTTATCTCGCGATAACGGGCTAAGCTTCAGAGTTTTGTCAGAACTGATATAGGTTTCAAGGAATATCAAATCCCGAACAGCACTGTCATGTCACCGACTTCTCAGACGCACTTACATCCTGTTTGAATGAATGAGGTGCGAGCTTGTCAATTTCAGAAAATTCTCCTTGAACAGAGGCACTACCACAGTGGTTGTGGCTGCATCGCGAGAAGGGGTACTGGCCAACGCAATTCCTGACAAGATATAGCGGCATGGGTAACCACATGTAGCCAATAGGTCCCGCGCGAACATTCGCAATGGGCAGCATATGTGCGTATTATAGATTCGCGCCAGTGCGCGGGAGAGCTTATCGGCGACATACTGACCCTTTGTCAGTAGCGTGACGTAGGACTGGGTTACTTAGCACAAGTCTGCACCTATTTTCTCCTTTTGGGTGTACTCCGGGTTGGCCGCCCGGCGTCGCAGTACAGTGACCGTCTCAGACAATCGATCGGACCCCTCCGCCGGACAGTCGAAATCTGCCAGAGTCGCGGCGAACCCAATTGACCAATGAGAGCGGGGCGAGGGGGCGGTCCCTTCTTGTAGGTCGCGGTGGCGTCACCGGTAGGCGAGTGGGACCCTTCTCCGGATCTGCTGCAAAGGTACGCCATTTCTGCTCCGGAGGTACGCCAGATTTGGACGAGCCGCGGAGCAGAAAATCGGAGGGGTCCGGAGCACAAATGGGAGGTTTCCGGAGCACAAATGGGAGGGCTCCGGAGCACAAAATGGGAGGTCTCCGGAGCACAAATGGGAGGGCTCCGGAGCACAAAATGGGAGGCCTCCGGAGCACAAAATGGGAGGGCTCCGGAGCACAAAATGGGAGTCCCCCGGAGCACAAAATGGGAGGCCTCCGGAGCGCAAATGGGAGGTCTCCGGAGCAAAAAATGGAAGGGCCCCGGAGCACAAAATGGGAGAGCTCCGGAGCAGAAATGGGAGGGCTCCGGAGCAGAAATGGGAGGTCTCCGGCGCACAAAATCGATGGGCTCCGGAGCATGAGTGGCAGACACTCCGCTGGGGAAACCCCGCTGCCCTGCCATTTCTCCGCCGGAGGGGTCCGATCCATTGTCTGAGGTATTCATCAAGGAACCCTGAAGGTTAAACTTACCCTGGAGAGTAAGTTTAACCCTGGAAAGCGATTAACCCGTATGCACAAAGTACAGGGTAGACTAAACCTTCAAGGGTTATAACGAGGGTTAATCTTACCCCGAAAAGCGACTGACCCGTATTCATGGAATCTGAAGGTAAACTCTACCCCTTGAGGGTAAAACTTACCCCAGGAACGATTAACCCGTATTCATGAACGTAATTGTCGGGATAAATTCAACCCTAGCATATAGCAAGATTAAACTGACCTTGACACTCCGTACAAACATAAAGTAGTCTCTTGATCACCTCTCAGTCTCAACAATAGTGTTTTGATAAAACAAACATTTCTAATCATTACTATCCCAAATTTCCTAATTTTCGTCTCGTCTAGTCATCTATACATATATAAAACTCAAAAATTGTCAATTTGGAGGGTATGCGTTATAGAAACTCGCGCTGCTTAACCGATTCAGCTGAAACTTTCCACACATATGTTTTCGACCCCTGCGCAGATGACAGGCTACTTTTTGCAACGATTTGTTGGGTCCTTCTATCGATTTATTGATTTGTTTACGTTCTTCTAAGGAATTGAAGGCTTATCATGTCTAATCAAGCATTTTCCATAGCCATGTAAAGGAGGGCGGTGAAGCTCATTTTCAGCTCAGTATCACGAGGATGCGTTGACTACGATAGCTTGGCCATGCATCTAACCATAATCATTATCTAATTACTGAGCGAGTATATTGGTGGATTAAGATTTGAATGAGGGAGTTTCCTATGACGAACATTTTTCCGAGCTGTTAAGCTTGATGTTCACCATATCAAGCCTTTAGTTGGACATGTATTTCATTCAAAACTAAATTTTTCACCATAACAAGTCGGCCGAATGCAACACCGGTTATAACTTGAAACAAAAAATACGGAAAGAGGTCATAGAAAGTCTGAGATAGTAGTAAACATAAATATGTGTTTGCTGTCAAAACAGTAAGGCTAGGCGTGGATAGTGCATTGAGAGATCGCTTGATCTTTGTACAAAGTGTTGAGGAATTTATCCTTGCTCTATGCTAGGGTTTTACCCTAATGAACCACGTTCCTGAATACGGATTGCCCTCGAAGTAAAATTTACTCTAAAGGATAAGATTTACCCTGAAGGTTCATTGATGAATACGGATTGATCGCTTTTCGGAGTAAGCCTTAGCCTGAGTACTCACTCAGGTAATCGCCGAGATAAATCTGTAGCCGAAAATTGCATGGTGATTTCTCGCACTTCACTCCTAAAATTTTAGAGAACTAAAAACGCACTTTCCTGACGCCGCTTGTTAATCCTTTTCTTGCTCCAATTCTCGGAGCTGGATTTCTGCTCTTTTCTCAAAATAAAAAAATCAACTAGCGGCTGTCCAAAAGGTGGGTGCGAAAACCAGTCACCATTCTTCTGATGCCCGCCTACTTCCGGCGTTTGCTTTAGTAGTTTAGGTGCAGATAAATCTGGAAGAGGCTCCCCAGCATCCGTTTGTAGACGTGCAGCTGTACTGCACTACTGTGATTCTATTAGTTTGTCGACTCGGTCACTAATGGCGGCAAGCCGTGCGCTTTTAGGCGCCGCTTGCCGTGCTTTCTATTCGTCGCCGCGGGTATGATGGAATCGTAAAATACATGATAAGTTTATAGCTCTCCGCTCGTAAAATGTTTGAAAGCTGACGGCATTTTTGTGAGACCACTGAGATAATTGATTTCGAAAAAAAGAAGTAGTGATTTATAGCAAAATACCAAAGTGATATAGTCGTTGCTTTCTGGATTATACGGGTAAGAAAGAGGACCCTTTTTAACAACAATCTAATCTACAGAAACAATTTGCGAGTGTTTGTTCCCGAAAACTACGGCAATTCAGCAATGAGAATTTCCTCCTTCATTGAGCAGGTTTGGCCTAAGTGAATAAGATCTAACATGCAAGTTCGTGATTTGAAATCTGCTTGTACAAAGATTTTTGCTTCAATGCCCGGAAATCTGTAGTAGCTGGCTACCAGACAATCGATGGTAATCGCTGTCAGAGATTTCGCCAAGCAAACAAAGAGATTCGACATGCATGTGAAAAATAACAGTTTTTGAAAAATGAATAGAAAGAGTATTTAAATCCATATTGTTTGGTTTTTCTGAACAAACATCATGCAAGAAAAATACAAAAAACTTTTTTCCTATTTTCTCGCCGCAATCAGCTATTTATGACCCTCTCCCATTTAGCCCCAAAATCGTTCGGTATTGCTAGTTTTGCCCGCAAAAGAACTTGAGCTTGGACGCACCGCAAGATGCGCACGAGCAACTCACGAGATTTCCGCCTGATCCCCCACTTACGCACGCTACCTTCGTCATTTATGATTTACCTTCATAATGGCAAAAAGTCGAACTGTCAAACTGACAGTGGCACTTGACCGGACGGTCTTCTGATTTAACTTGCCATCTTGAAGCAGGCGAGGTGGGCGATTTTAAATTTCACTTAAAGTGCTTTGAATGGGTCTCAGCTTGACTGAGCTGAATGTAGGTTTACCGCGATCTTGAATCTTACATCAAAGATACTGTTATGCTAATAGCCGGTTTCCGTGTTTGTTATTCTTGAGTCTTTTCATGGCCAAGACTTCAGATATGGAGTTCAAAATACGTGAAAAGTTCGAAAAGCTTTTCTTCCATAGCCATTTCTCCAAAACGGGTATTCCAGCACTTGTTCCACCAAGGGTTGGCACAGGTGGCTTATAAGCAATATATCGTTTTTGGGACAAAAAGCAGAAGGAATATCTTTTGTGGACAGGAAATTAGGTTTATTAGTCGACGGTTTCGTTTTTTAGACGCTTCGGATATTTCGGATAAGGATCAAAGGG